CGGTTTAGCCGTTGTTGAGATCGGAAAATCTCGATATTGCCATTTGGCCATTTTCGCGTAAATAAGGNACGGGGTACCTCGCGCAGCGCGCGCGCACTTCGTTTGCGCATATACTTGGCGCGAGGCACTACCGTGCCTCTTGATATATGCACACGTACAGTTTCCGTTCAACATCCTGGAAACGGCTCGTAAGGCCTTATATATTTCTTGGTTTAATTTCAAAGAGCCTTAAAATCATTATTAATTGTTTTAATAAAAAAAGTTATATCGGAGGTATTGCCGACGCGAAACCACCATGCCGCGATAGTCCCGCGCCCACCTCAGTAGGAGCTAAAGCTGGAGTCTGATTTTTCTGAAAAATTTGTTTATTCTGTTTTCTAAATTGTCTACTTTATAAATTTAATATATACAGTTTGTAGTTATTTTGTGTCAAGTTTCAAAACAGTTTATTAAGAAAAAATTATATCGGTATTGTGTTACGTCCTGGCCCACAGTTACGGTTGGGCTATGGTGGAGTAACAGAAAGCCGTCGTTTCTCTGTCTCCGCACAGCAGGTTGGCGATCCCGCTGCGGCAGAGTCGAGCGAGTTTGTGTGCTCTCACGGACAAGTCAACGGCGTATGCCGATCTTACTCTATCCTATGAGGTCCCGCTCGTCGGTCTCTTTTTAAGTCTAGAAATTCAACTCTATTGACTAAGGACGAGACCGTGCGATCAATTGAGGATGTGGAGGATGAGAGGTCGTCTTAATTAAACGAAAAGATTATAACATGCAAAATATTAATTTATTCATTTAGCGAAGGTCCTTGTTACAAATTTTGGTCGGTGGTGTGTCGTTGTGTAGTTAGATGTGATGTCGCGAATTTTACAATAAATTGGAGGGTCATCGCTCGGAGGCTGAAGAGAGGGAATATATATATATATGTATGCGTGTCGCGAGAGGGCGTGTAAAGCCTCCGGCGGGGTACTACAAATGTAAGGTGTCGGGTGCATGTGTGTGACGGCGATTCGTGGGATGGTGATAGAAATCATTCTAGATCGATTTCTATGATTTCATGGATTTTAGCGGAACTAGGAGAAAATATGGAATAAAAATGACGGACTGGGATTAGGCGGATGTCATTGAGATACGGAAATTTGACGGGGAGGAGTTTTCTGGATGGAGTTGTAGATATCAGGTGAAAGAGATCGGAAGGATTTATTCTTAGGGGATCTATTACATAGAGTATTTTTTTAGGATCTGCTATTCGGTAAGTGGAGGCTCCCGGGCGAGTTTGGACTCTTCCCCCTTGACGTAGGGCCCGGGCTTGTGTGCAGGGGTGAAGGAAAGGGCTATGACGGCGGGACTTCGGTCCCGGCAGGTTCTACCATGCCGTACAGGCCTTCCCCGACCTGCCAGACTAAGAGGAGTGTCCACGGGCGTGCGGGCTCGTTACCCCAGTAGGGGAGCCGTACTAGAGGAAGGAAAACATCGATAAAAAACACGGGCAGACCGGGCTTGTTAGCCTTGTGTAGGCAGCCGGTCTAAGAGAAGGAAAACTCCGAAATTAAACCACCCTTGTAAAATCCAGTAATGTCGTCACAAGAGGAGCAAGACTTACCGGCCCAGAGGTTTCGGACTCTCAGGGCCCGGCGGGAGGGTACTATCGTCCCAGGTGTCCTCCTGCCGTCCATCCGACGATGGGCTATCCGACGCTTGCCCCGCAGGGGCGCCGGAGGAAGCAGTGACTGCGAAGATGTCCGACCCCATCCCTGTGTCCTCGTGTTCGGGGTTCAGGGTGGTGCGGACATACGCACAGCGTGCGCGGCAACGGTCGTGCGCGACGCAAGAGGAGAAAGGAGAATCACGCGATGCTTCTGGCGAACGCTCGCGGTCGCGCTCTTGGATAGAAGCCTCGCCAGCTGTGGTCATCGACGACTTCGACGTCGATGTAGGAGCTATCTCCCTAGACGAGGACGACGACCGTATACGTCCTAGACCGTCGGCGGGGGCGGATGGCGATTGCTACCCTCTCCCGTCGGCGTCACAGCCTCGCCGGACAGGGAAGCGGAGCCGCCCGCCAACTACCGGGAAGTATGTTGGATTGGCTAAGGCCAAAGAACGCTTGGCAGCGGCCAAGCAGGCGGAGGCGGAGGCCCGCATAGAGTCCGACTTTTTGGACAACACTGCAATCTGGGTCTGGAGAGCGGGGACTTGGCCGGGAGTTGGGGGACTCCCGGTCATTGCACAAGTCCCCGGGTGGGGCGGCTGAAGGGGATTATGGCCCTCCTTTCAGCCGCAAACAGGGTAACTTGCCCGTACGGGCGCGCGCAAGGGATCCGTCCTCGGTTTGGGGGGCGACGAGGAGAGGTCCTCGCGACGTAATAGCCGCGAGGCTGCCAGGGGACCTCTTCTGATAAGTCCCAGTCAGAAGGCCATCTTGGGGTTTTAGTGGGTGCGAGTCCCACACTCCCCCTCTCCTTCCCCAGGGGAGGGAAGTGCGTAGGCATTTCCCCAAGTAAAAAAAAAAAGTAGAGGCTAATTTGAGGAAGTGTTGTATTTTAGAGTCGAGCGGTGGGGTGGTCGATCGAGAGGAATCGGAAGATTCGTCGTCCGCAGGTTCTTGCGCGGATGTGGAAGGTAGTGGAGAAGGAGAGCGAGGAGGGAGTGGAGGAGTTGGCGCGGATTGCACATCCGCTTGATTTTCTGCGGGACAAGCGGGCTCGGAGTGAGAGGGGAAGCGAGGCGGTGAAGGCGGTGGATTGTTTGCGGGAGAATCGGGGCTTACCGGAGAGTAAGAAGAAGATTGATACCACGAATCGTCGTCGTGGTGTGTGTCTGTATGTATGTCGTGTGAGGTTGCGTGAGATGTGCTTGCGTGCGAGTGTGTCGGTGAGTGTACGTGCGCGTGAGAGAGAATTGTGTGCGTATTGCAGGGGTTTTTAATATTATTGTCGCTGTTGTCGCTGTTGTCCGCGTAGTTAACGTTGGAACGTTTCTCGGGGGTAGTAGGCGTCGGGCGGTTGGGCCTGTCCGGCTCAGCTTTGCCCAAGGCAAGCGCGGCGGCTCAGCGCAAAGCTTGGTTCTGCCGATTGCGTCGAGCCTTTATTGTTGCCCGTGAAATGTATTTGCGAGGTTCCACTTAAATCAATTATTTAATTATTTAATTAAGCTGCAAGAGTCTTATTTGCTTAAGTGATCCGCAGTTGAGCCTTCAAGGTGCGAGGAGAGAAAGAAAGAAAATTGTTTACGGCAAGTTTCTCGTACGTTGAGGATACAAAATTAAAATGGAGAGTCGGAGGTTATCCTGAGCGATTCAAAACCGTGGATGTCTATCAGGAGTCATCCAGAGCGATTCAGGATCGCGGATATCCTCTCTGATTAAGGAAGGAGGTGAGAGGCTATCTTAGACAGTTCAGTACTGCGGCTGCTGTGTCTGATTTGTGCGAGACTTAATCGTTTTTAAACTTAGCCGATGAATTAATGATTAATTGTTTTTATTTCGCGAGTACGTTTCTCTGAGCTCCCTGAAGAGCAGCTGTGGGTTTCTCTCTTTTCTCAATTTCTATTTCTAATTCGTAGAATCTCAATGAACAATTGGTTTCTTAAAAACACTTATTACTTGGTTGAGTGGCGGCGGTGTCGGGTTGGCTGCAGGCACTCGGGAGTGGAGCGTTGAATACCAGTGCGGCTTCGATGTCCCGGATTTGGCACTCACTGTACCGAACTTTACTTTTCAAACTCTTTGTACCACGACACTCCCGACTTTTAAGATTAGCGGCTCTTAACTGATTCCAATTCTGAGAGTCCTGGCTTATATACAATTTTGAGTAAGCGAGGACTCTCCCAATCGGAAAACTCAGTCGAGCTTTGCCAGTTCCTATTTGTTAGTTAGTGGTTGGATAAACTTCGTGAGATTGTCAATCGGTGACGATTTCTCGCCTCGGTCGGTTCGTCCGATTTTTCGGAGAAGGGAAAAGGGAGAGTGTTGGTTTTTTTTTTTTTATCACGCCACATAGACCTTTTGCTATTTGTTTATAATAAAATTGCTCGTGGCGCCGTAATTTTTATTTGCGCCGGCTGCTCTAAATTTTATAAGCGGTGTTTTTCTTGACCCGGAGATATCCGGGTTTGTTTGGAAAGCTGCTCAGAGTGTGTAAACGATAAATTTTTCTTGCTCGTTATAGCAAAATTCCAGGTTTTTACTAGGCGCGGTTTATCTTTTCGGGCGCCGATATGATTTCCGTTTGCTCTCCTATCGTTTGGAGTCTAAGTTTCCAAACGATAGGAGACCCGTTTGAGTTATTTATTGCTTTTCATTATTTACAAAAAAAGTGTTTGTTATGCGTTGACGCGTCGCGTTGCAAGAAAAAGCGGACCGTGGAGTCCCCAGGACGTAACAATTGCTTGCGCGAAAAAATTTTTTAAAATCTGTTTTCTGAATTTTACCATAAACTGAAAGTATATAATTTGTAGTTATTTCGTGTCAAGACAGTTTATTAAAAGTTATATCAAAAGTGTTGCCGGCGCGAAACAACCACGCCGCTGTAAACTACCCTGCTCACCACGATTGGAAATATTGCTGGAGTCTGATTTTTCCGCAAAATTTGTTTGTTCCGTTTTTTAATTTTATTTTCTATTTCATAAATTTAAAGTATACAGTTTATAGTTATTTCATGCCAAGTTTCGAAACAATTGATTAAAAACAGTTATAATATCAGAGGTGTTGCCAGCGCGAATAAAGCAAATCACTACCATGCCTCTTGATTCTTTCTCTCTCTAACTTACACGTTCTGTCTTTCTGTTTCTTCTTTCAACGCGCTCGTATACGTATGCCATCTGGTAGAAAGCATACGAACATGCATACAATTTTGTCCCACGACGATGATGATGATGACGTTTTTGAATCTGAAAAACGTGATTTTTCACATTTTAAAACTTTATCGTTGCGTATCTCCGATCAGAAGGCACGAACAAAAAGAGAATGCAAAAATATTTTTTTTTAATTATTCGGAATGAATCGATTAAGACTAAACGAATTAAAACGAAAGCAATTGATTCAGTCGTTCTTGAAATATTGCCTCGAGAAAATTTCCCCACTTCTCAATTGCATGAATTTCGGGTATAAGAGGCACAGCGTACTCGCGCAGTTTGAGCACCACTTCGTTGAGCGTTAACTTGGTGCGAGGCACTACCGTGCCTCTTGATCAATCCTTTATAACATCTAAAATGTTATTAGAAAGTGGTATGAAGTGTCAAACACAGAGATAATTAACCAATTGAATAAAAAATTTGACTAACCGACCATTGTTATTTTGATTAATTTTCTCTCTGTCCAACAAATTAGTTCGATTCTGGCATCGTAGGCACAAAGCCTTAAGTTTAATAGCTCTTGCTCATATCGTTTTAGCTGATGTTGATACCATTTTAGTTGTGGTACATACGTCGGATTTACACTGTCAAATTTGTAAATTTTTTAGCACAGCAAAAAATATTTGCTATGATGTCTAATTTAGCTATTACAGCTAAATAAGGTGCACTCCACAACTAATTGTTGTCACTGCATACTGCCATAGCTATTCTTTATTGTATACATTGCAGCTAAACTTCTGTATACCACAGTTGCAAATCTGTTAGGTACGAAAAATAGATCTCATAGCTAAGAGCTTGGATGTCCATATAATACTACCGAAATTTAGGAGCCAAATCTAATTTTTAGCTGTGAGAGCTTTTTTTCGTAAAAAAATATTATATGGTTGAATTTAAAAAAATATTTGTTTTTCTTTTATTATCACAGAAATGCAAAAAATATTTTTAAACAACATTAAAAACTTTATTTTTTAATAAACAAAACTTTCTTTTTACTTCTGTTTATGTCACTTTATAGCAATTAACGTGCTGTGAAACTTTTATTTCAAATATATTTCTGTATCTTTTGTACTTCAAGAGATATACGCAAAAAGATGTAAGCGTTCTTTTATTTTTGAAGTCAAAATCATACCTGTAAAGTGAAAACGCGCAAGAATTGTGCATACCGTTATTATTGAGGTTCTCTACTCACAAAACTTGATTGAAATCCGGGTTCGCGGTTTTCCCTTGTGACAGCTGAATCGGACTTTAGCCATTGCTTCAACATTCTCTTAAAGCAAATACAATGCGAAAATTAGCGCGGCTTATAACAAAACCGAAAGAAGTTCATGTTCGCCTTCTTTTCTTTCTTTTACCTTTCTAGCTTGCACTTGTAAAAACAATTTACTTGCATTAATTTGAGAATTCAAAGCAATCTCTCTCTCTCTCTCTCTCTCTCTCTCTTTCTCTCTCTCTCGACAGATGTTTTCATTCAGCGCATTTTAGGCTTATTGATAGCCCGTGATTAATGTTGAATTTATTTCAATCTTCGAGGTTTCTTCAGATGTAAGTGTTGGAAAATAAATCTTATTCATAATGAAAACTTGTATTATCTCGAGATTATTTAGGAACAAACAAACGACGAATGCATTGATTATATTGCGTGTTACAAGATTCCGTTGTAATTTACCGTTTCTTAATGATCCCGTTATTACAACCTATTCATTACAATCGCCGGGACAGTCCTTAATTAATTGGCGCTCCCTGAGCAATATTCCATTTGTCACAAGAACGTAAAAAGCGCGCGCGACATTTTCGTTCCGCGTTAAAAGAAATCAATTTTGCAAACACTTCTTCCACGCCGTCTTTCCCCGGGGAGGCCGCGCAATAAGTGGCAGTACAAAAAATTCGCTGATAGATAA